AATCAATCTTTATAACAATTTATTTTAATAAAAGGAGCATATTGATAGTATATACTCCGCATTTTAATTTTACCCGCAACACCCTAATTCATTAAATTCGCGAACTTAGAGACATTTAAAATTAAATCGACAATAATAGTACCTACTCCCCAATTAGGACTACAAAATTAAATTTAACCACTAACAGTTGTTTTTGGAGAAATTTACTTAAATATCCCTAAAACATAATGACTTTCCTTAAATAGCCATTAGAGATTAGAATTAGTATTTTAACAATATTATTTATCAACAACGTTTAATTTTCGAATCCATTTTTGAAATTAATCTATACTATTAAAATTATATTGAAAATATCAACGCTAATGAAAAATATTGTTCCCAAGAGAGGCCCCAATTGATATCACATGGAGTTATGTAGTACAAAATACTCAAACTGATTGCATTGAAAATAAATTTTTAAAAGCGACTCAATAGCTACAAATACAAGCCAATTATTTATCAAATCTGAATCATGCTTGTTGTACACATGGTGGCGGCGAAGATTGAACATTAGTGAGGTGAACCTTGAACAGTGGATATTGAACCGTGGTAGCAGTGGACATTTAGCAATGATACTAATTCGATAATACGGAGTAGTTAGAAAAATTAAAATACATATGATATTACATTAGAAAACTCGCTATGTTTTAATATTGTATATAGGTAAAATCTTCATATCTCTTTGTGCTATTCAAAATTCACGACAATTTTTTGTTTATTTATTATTTTTTGTGATTAAATAGAATTTTAAACCAATTGATAGTTTTATTATTTTAGTGTTACAGGGAATGAATAGTAAATCCTCTGTCTCAAAAACCATTCCTATTTGGAAAAAAATACATTTTAAAAATATGTGATTTTGATATTATTTTTAAATTATAACTTATCTATCTTGCACACCATATTTTACGTTATTATAAAATAAAGACACAATTAGAAAATAATACTAAAATTAATCAATTTTAACATGAAGAGTTTTTTTAGGAGGAGATAATATAAAATTGGTGAAGAACTTTTATGTGCATAAATAATAATTTTATCCATCTACTTTTAGGTCGACAACGTAAAAATATGACTAGTCTAAATTACTCCCTCCGTTCCTAAATAGATTACAAATTGCGGGTTACGAAGTAAAATTTACTACTTTTTGAAACCATTTTATTTACAAATTGGTATATCAATAAGATATAAAAATTACATATTAAAAAACTACATCAAAAAGTTCTACAAAACAAGAGGTGTCAAGAATATTTTATTTTATCAAATATTTAATGACTTACTCCCTCCGTTCTAAAAAACAAGAGGTGTCATATATTTTTCTGACTTACTCCCTCCGTTCTAAAACCATCTTCTCGTTTGTGTTTACAAGATTTGACCGAGTTTATTTTCAATTCAATTTATTTGATTGTAGGTGTAAAATTAAAATATAAAATATATATATTTAAAAACTACACCAAAAGTTATACAAAACAAGAGGTGACAAGACTATATTATTTTATCAAATAACTAATGAAAATAGGTAAAGAAAGTAATTTAAGTTTGATCATTTAAATAGTAACTGGGAAGATAGTTCTAGAACGGAGGGAAGTAATATTTTATGGAAACTCTAGAAGTATCATGTGCATGTCTTACTTTTTATCGCCATTTTGTGAATAAAATCTAATTTATTTTCTTTAAGCGATCGTCCTGTCGGGTATGAGAGGATCATCAGAGATGAGACTCATCCTTTATATTTTACAGAGTAGTTATCATACTTCACATTTTAGCTAATTTTTAGGTTTTAATTAAAATTACTTCATATTACTAGTAATTTTGTACATGAAATTTTAAACTCTAACTAGTATCACACCCGTGCGTTGCACGGGTCATAGTTACGGTACTAACTTAAGATCATTTTTAGGAATATAAATTGGTATATAATGGAATATAGAGATTTCATTATTTTAAACTACAAAAGTAAAATGATTTACAAATTTCGAAAGACTTATTTATAAACTACATCACTCGTATGTATAATTTATGTGAGTATTCACTTCGTTGTATATCAGAATCTTCAAGCCATTGCGATTTATTACTCTTTAAACTGCAACATACACTTTCTCATGACTAAATACCAGTTTCCGTAACAATAATTCAATATGTTTCAGATATTGTTTTTGATAATAATTCAATAATTTGACTTATCTAAGCAATAATTCAACATATTAATGTATTTATTTTGGAATTTGTACTTTTTAATTTTATTTTCGTATTTAAGTGGTACCATTAACTTACCCTATGATATTTATTTTCTATTTTATTTTAGATCACTTACCATTTTTACACGTATCCATGCTTGTAAATTATAGTATTAATAGTATTTATTTTAGAATACTTATACCATTGTTACATGTTTCCATGCTTATA